TCAAACTGCTCTGTCAGAAAAAGAAAACACAACACATATATTCTGGAAGGATAAGCACAGTAAGAGAGTAGTTCTGGGACTCCTCTTCAGCCCAAACTTCATGAATTTCACAGTTCTCAGAGTAAGGATTCTGCAACAAGCAAAGAAAGACTGGAAGTCTTGGCTGCTGTAACGCATTACTTTCTTCAGACCCACATCTCCTGTAATGTAAGAGCCCGTTTGTTCTCTGTACACTTCAAAAAATGATTAATAAATATTACAGCCCCTTGGAGTTTTCCTTTCAGGCTACTGAAATAAAAACAAAATGACATTAAATAGCAAACCATTCCTTTATCAACAGAGAGAAAACTGCACATGCGCAACTGCATCAAAACAAAGTGTTTGAGAATTAGGGAAAAGAACATGCAAGGCTTAATGGAATGAAGAAAAGCTTGAGGTAACAGCTTTGCACAGTATGACCACAGCATTAGACCAACCAGGACCTCGACGTCACTTCTGTCAAGTCTTCAGTTTGTGGTTGCCTTCATTCTCTTTACAACTGTATCATTTGAGAAGGCATCATATTCCCTCAACTTACGTAGAGTTATGTTTTATGTTGTAATTTGCTAGAACAGAGATTATGCACAAGTGGGAGAATTTCACAAGCAAAATGTCTTGTCAGTGAAAATAGCAGCTTTACTCCTACATTCACTTAGTGGCAGGAGGAAGAAAGTGTCCTGGGGTTTTTGAATTATTGCTGAAATGAACTCCAGATGCCTGTAGAAAGACTGCTAAATATATACCTAATTGCCTGTTTCTTTTATCTTAGCCATGCTGCTAAACAACCTTCAGACAACAGCATTTGATACATTCTGAATTCTTTATTAGCACCTTTATGCAGAATTAAATGGCACTTGTGCAAAGCTGGAGCACAAGCTCATGCCTGCGCTTCCTAAGCAGCGTTGTTGGAACCCTGCCTTGGATATTTGCCTTCCTGTGTGGGGGAGGTTTTCTTATAAATTACAGCCTTCCTTTCACATTACATGCTCACCAATTATTTATTTTATTTTTTACCTCTTAGTTTTTATGCTAGAGGAATTTGCATATTTATATAATATTAATCAAGCACCAAATTTTGCTGCTTTGAATATTCAGCAACAAGGAAAAGGAGAGCAAAACTATGTATTCTGGCTTGCTGCCACTGCAGTGACTCAAATTTGCCAACATGCAAGCTAATGGGGATGAAGAGATAGCACTACAGCTTCATAGAAAAAGGGGATAGAAAAAGGAGATACAAGCTCATGCATCCCATACTTAATTTCTACTAACCGTGGCTCCCATGTGCAATGCTCCCACTAAGCTAAGAACTAGGAAACTGCCTCCAAACTCTGTGATTATGGATGTTTGTAAGGATAAGCACTAAGTGTATGTAAACTGATACTTTGGTTTGGAGAAATGATAGTGTCAAAAATCACAAATAATATACATCACACTTATACTCTCTTCCCTATAACTGAGGCATCCTTGCAACTAGCACTCCAGCAAGAGAACCCTCTGAAGATACCTTTCCATTTATTCCTTTCTGTTAGAAGGTATTTTAGGGCTAACTTGTGATTCATAGTTTAATAAGATTTCAAAAGAGCCTGATACTCTTATTTCTTAGTCATGCAGGTAAGCATATTAAAGACTGCATGAGCTTCAAAGCAAGGACTTTTTTTTGTTAGGAAAAAAAAATACCATCACCACTGTCCATTTATTAAATAGACAAATTTCCTAAGCTGAAATGCTGGATTTTTGTTGTTGTTGTTTTATTATTTTTTTTTAACTGAAAGGGTATAAAAATCAGGTAAATGACAATTTCAAGACGTAGACAGAAATGTCAAACACTGTTATGAACAGCATCAGGTTCCAGGTGGAACTCAGAGTGATACAATGCTAACAGTTCCATTTCATATTCACAAGGACTAGGTGAATGGCTAAACTGTTCACAGATTCAAATGAGATAAACATGGCTTTGGTCAGCTAAGCAGGAGGAAAGGCAAAGGGATCGCTAGTGTAACCATTCTATTTGTGAAACAAGAGTACATTGTCTGCTGTTAGCTACACGTAATCCCTCTGCCTTCTCTGATTTTATGAGTCTTTTCTGAATGATACCACCTAACCACTCCAGTGTTATGATGCATTCTTCTACCACAGGAACAAAATATGGGTATTACACAGGCAGTATGTCAAACAAATTTTACTCTTGTAAAAATAAGTTTGTTGTCTATACGACCTAGCAACTAACTTTGCCCATAGCTGTAATCTGATGTTCTCGTTAAACTAGTATTCAGTACCAAGGGAGTCAACAACAATACCCAAAGCTACCACACAATGCTCTTTTCTGTCCCTCTTTCCCAGATCTACTCACCACAATTTTCATCCTGCTTTCAGTACACTGGGCCACTGCTACTCTTTAGAGAAGAATTCAGACAGTGTTCAATCAGAAGTGTTATAGAACTGCTGCTTGTACCAAGTATATACAGGAATGGATGGACATGCCCCAGATGAACAGCACAAAGCATCATGCCTGTAAAGCAGCGCTCAAATCTCTATGCTTGCTCTGTAACTTAATGCTGTGCTGGTAGTCTCTTCCAGGACTGCAAGTCTGACAGCATGAGGTGTGCATTACAGGGTATGAATCTCAGTTCTGGTTACAAATGCAGTGTTATTTTCAGTGTCTCAGGTTAAAAGTTAAAGCGTGGATTTTCAAAAATTTGACTACCACAGTAGAGATGTAAAGGATGGGAAAATCTTGACCTTGATGATTTTAAGATATCTCAAGAGAAAAAGCATATTGGCCAGATGCTTCTAGTTAAACATGTACAAGATCAATGTCCTCCTTCAAAATCATGCACCCTAGGAAGATTAATCCAGTCTTCATTGTTCAAATTGTCTTCAAAGCAAGCACAAAGCAGCGATCTGGTAAAGTTTGTGTCTAAATAACAATATTTAAAGTCAGCAGTTCTCTCTTTGCAACTTCAAATAACACAGAGAGTGGTTTAACTGCTCTGCTAGTGCTACAGATAAACACATAAGGCACCTTGTAGAACCACACAAAGACTGAGGTTGGAGGGGATCCCCGCAGATTATCTGGTCCAACATTCCTGTTCAGGCAAGGTCATCTAGAGCAGGCTGGCCAAGACTTGGACTTTTTCTGTGTCACCACAGTCATCCTTTTTGTCATCTCTGCATTTACATAAGACCTCTTCATTGCCTTTGACATTCCTTGCCAGATTAAATTCTAGCTGAGTTTCCTCTTTCCTAACCTCATCCCTTCATGCTCTGCATTCCTCTCAGGTTAGCTGTATAAAAAATCCCACCTCAAAGCACGCAGAAAAAACTAGATTTATTACTGTTTTTAAATCATCAAAGGAGAGAGAAGTGAGCAGTGGCACTTCTATTTCAAGCTGCCATAATCAGACTGAGCCTTTCCCGCATTTCCCAATATAAAGCAGTCTGCAATGGTTAGATTAAATCCTATGATCAGAAATGCTATTGTTTTTCCTATTTGAGATCATACAGATAAAAAAAGTTAACTTAATTCATTTAGCGAAATTCAACGAATGGCCAAGTTAACTTCAAGGAAGTAATGAGGAAAAGGAAGAGAAGATGCTTAAGAAACAAATCATTGCTCCTTGGAATAAAATAACATGCATTTAAAAATGCAGTTTGTGTGTCTAACCATTTTCTCCTTCTGTTATGGGGCTGTACAAATAGCACAGTAGGGGTCAGGCATTATCATATTATTTTTTGAGGGTCATTAACCACTAAATGAGACTTCTACATTCTAGTGTTAATCAGAACTGATAAAACACCTTAAGGGCTCCTTAGGCTTATCCTGTTTGCAGTAAACAAAGCCATAAAGAGATACCATCATACAGGATTTGAGAAGAAATTATAAGAGAGGTTGATACTGGTATCCGTACATCCTCTGTCTGCTTAAATAAAGAATTTGGTTGTAATCTTTCTAAATAAACCTCTGCAAAGGGTAACATTTCTGATGCTTCCCAAAACCAAAACTACTGCCGTTACCTTCTGACATAATAACGGATCCTTCCTGGTCTCACAGAGATGTGGAAATTTCAGTTAGTTCTGTTTGCACTAGATAAAGGAAGGAGCTTGAACATAAAAGAGTAAGGTCAATGCCTTCTCCCAGCCCTGCTCATATATAGGGCACATGCACCTATAGCAGAGCATTTCCTTTCTAGGCAAAGCTAACTCATACTATAGTTACAGAAAAACTTCAATGAATTTCTCCACCAGTATGGAACAAGTCTGCAACCTTCTGGATATTGAAGATCCCAGCTAAAGAATCAAATATCTGTGTGTATTTGTATGTGTTCAGGTGTATGTACCTAAGAAGAGAATGTGTGTGCACACGCAAGCAGCTACCTTTGTCTGGGAAAAAGTGAGATTACGTTAACACCAATACAATTACCTTAAAGATGCATGTCCTACAGAGCTTTCCCACTACCTCCAACAAAAAGGGTAGAAAGGATAGAAGGGTAGAAAATGAACAGCCTGCAGTACTGCAGATCTCCACAACAATAACATCCTTACACTGATTTCAGCAGGGCTGGACTTAGCTCACTGTGCTTTCTTTAAGCTGAACATGTTCATAAAGCACGACCTGTAAGCTAATGTAAAGATCAAGCTTAGCATCTGTTCAGTGCATTCAGCGACTAATATTTTATTTTCTCTCCTACTTTTTGCCAACACAAGAAACTACCTGCTAAGCCATGCAATTTCCAATTCACTTGTAACTTAAAACCAGCAGAAGCCCCACATTTCTTGTCTAGCACACTGTAAATCCAATGGCAGTCTAGCAAATAGGCAACTACAGCACCTGGTTATATCTGAAACACTGTTTGATACTTTGGGAAACACAGTAACATCAACGAATCATGTTCAATTACAACACGGTTATTTTCAAATCTGTTTGATGCTTAGCATTTGGTGGAAATGATGTGCTTACTCACCATAAAGGATATATGCCAAGCCTACTGACAATGAAGACAATTGCAAACGTAAGGAACAGAAGGTCACTCAGTTTTTGACACTTGCAATAGTTTGCCATTTTGGCAGCCTGTAAAAGAAAGAAACGTCTGTTTACTTCCGTGAGGACAACTGAATTCTCTTGAATTGTGTATAAGTTGTAAAAAAATAAAAATAAAAATAAAACAAATTTTGATTAAATGACCAACATTTTCATTGGGCCGCCTCACAGAAACCTCAGAACTCCTCTCTACCAAGCAGTTGGAATTTTTTCTTTTCCTGAAAAAAAGTGCACAAAACCAGAATATTTCCTTCACTTTATTCATCTCCATTCCATTTCCTATTTGAAATCCTACAAATCCTACAGTTTCAAATTTACAAAACTCTTACAAAGATTGTACTGAGCCCCACTATGTTTATGCTATCCTTGTCAGCAGCCTTTTAACCTACTTTCTCTCATCTTTCCACAGTGCTGCAATCCAAGTCTTTCCCACTGGGCTGCATTTTCATTTTTGGCAACTACATATCTTTCAACTGTCCCATACTTCTGTCTTCCAGTTTTTTGCTATATATAACATTTCTGTTTCAAATGCTCAATTGTGCCCCACAGCCTCTGTTCTCCTACAGTATCTCTCCTGCCTTTCTAGCTTATACAGAGCAGTTGCTGTCTTTAGGTTTGTATTCCTCTCTCCAAAACTTTTCCCAAGGCTTGTATTGCTCCTATGTCCTCCTCCCCCATCTAAAACTCTTTTGCTCTCCTAACCTTTTGCCATAAGCCTATTTTTACATGTTCCAGTCATTTGTCTTCATGCAATCTTCTGACTCCTTCCTTGGTCAAGGAGTCAACCAGATACACTTCACTCAAACTCTTTAAAACTCTGATCTTACCTGAAGTTTCCCTGTCCTCTTCTTCCTGAAGAAAACAGCATGCACATACAACCTTGTTTTAAGGCACTTATGCTGCTTCCAGAGTGTTCATGTCTTTCTTATGCTTTGTGTCAAAAGCGTACAGAGCCACTGCACCATGCAGTATATCAAGAGATTAATTTAGTGTCCACTGGATGCCTCCTTGAGAAGGGACACGTATCCAGCTCCCCTATCTAAAAAATGCTTGATTGTGAAGACTTTCAGAGGCTAGGAGGGAGAAAAATAACCACAATGCATAGAGAATACTATTCTGAGTGCAGAATTCAAACTAAAGAACTATCTAAAATGGTCAGAGGCAGTCCTGCATTGTTTGATTCTATTGGTATGAACACAATGAACCTGAAAACGCTCAATGCTCACATCAGACAATCCACATGCCAAAACCAACCAGCACTTCTTGATGTTACATAAATATTTCTATTCAAATATTCTGAAATATTTCTATTCAAAATCTGAACATAAAGGATATTCTTACAAACAGAAAACAAATTAGGAAGCTTATGAAATATTTGGAAAGCTTCAAGTGCTGCAAAGAAATCATTAGTATCCTGAATCAACCCTATAGTCTTACAGCCTTCTCAATCAGTCCTGTATTCTACTGGACATGAATGTGTTTCCTAGCAGTTTGTACTTTGGCTGTTTTAAGGAAAAGATAACACTTTGGATGCCAACATGTAAGGGAGAGGAGTTACTAACATAATGATTTTCAGATAACTGGAAATTCAGTATTCCCACGATGGCAGCCTAAAAAAGATGGTTTTACAGAGTGTGAAGCTGGTATTGCCACAGCAGCTTGTAGTAGTATTTCTCAAAAACAGTACAGGTGATGGGTTATCAATACTCAAAACATAGATCTACAAACAACATTGATAAGGAAGGACTAGAAAAAAGTGGTAAAGTGCATGTCCTTGGATAGAATTTGGCCACCTAAGACAGGGTAACACAAAGTAACATAGCATTCATTAAGTAGGAAGGGAATTGGGTCTGGAAGGTCTCAAGGTCCCAAATAAGAGCAGTTTTACACTCTTAAGCAGATTAGTTCCAAGTGTTTTTAACCCGCAAGCTGTACTACATTGCAAAGATAGCCCAAGCCACTCAAAGAACTGAACTTAGAAGGGATGCTGAAATTTTCTCTCAGTAGCCTGGATTTCAGCTAAAGATTATATAATGGCTTCCTACGCAAGCCAATGATTCTATGCTTAGTCTATCCTGGCATAGCTAGGCTGCTTTGAGCATCCAAGATAAACTAAACTGAGGTACAGATTTGTGAGTATCACAGAATCTTAAAATGGCTGAGGTTGGAAAGGACCTCTGGAGGTCACCCAGTCCAATCCCCCTGCTCAAGATGTAACACCCAGAGCCCATCGTGCCCTCAACCATGTTCAGAATGCTTTTGAGAATCTCCAAAACAGGTCAGGTACACAACTGATCCATCACAGTAAGAAATTCTATCAGTTTCTTTTGCAGCTACATATTTATTTTCCTCTGCATTAACATTCCCTAAATAATATCAGAGTTCATTTTGTCTCATATGGCACAGGGGCTGTGACTTGGCAGAAGAGAGCATGTTGAGTGAGTTCTAACAACCCCCTTAGTAAATGTTTCTCAAGGGTTTTGGTTATGATTGTTATATTTCATAAGCAGCTTTAGCATCTCCAGGTAAAACAAGCTGAAAAAACTGATCAGGAAGACTGCAAAAGGCTGTCTCACATAACAAAATAGACTTTACTTTATGTTTTCAAATAGTGAGAATAGCAATCTCTCTTTGTCTTAGGGGGACAGAGGAATTGATCAAAAATATATATCCCAGTGTGTTCAACCTAAGATTTTAGCTAGCCTACCCCAGCTACTCTTCAGTGTTTTCCAGTTCCACAGGCACTGGTCTGACCTGAAATGAACAACATCAAGTATGCCCTTCTGTTGGCAAAAAAATAGGAATGAAGAAGGTTTGGGTGAATTCACAGCCAGCAGAATAGATCTACACAAGTTGCTAAAACAGGAAAAAAGCTTGCAAAGATGTAATTATTTCTAATTAGAGAAAACCAGATTCTTTCTTGCCTTCATTCTCAGGCAGTTGTGTGACTTCCAGATTAAAAATAAATTAAAAAATAACAACAGGGTTAAAGCACAATCAAACCAGAATGGCAGGACTTCAAGACTGAGAAAAGTGAATAATGCAGTGAGGCTATGTTCTTGCATAAAAGGATCCTTGAAAATACTTAAAAAACAAACAAACAAACAAACAAAAAAAACCAACAACAAAAAAACTTTTAGACAAAAACAATTATTATCTGATCCTGACGCAGAGTCCACATCACAATCTCAGCATTACTGATGAGAAAAATCTCTAAATTGCTGCTAAAGAAGTTACAGATCATCTTTTTACAGACCATCTTGTCTTAAAAGAGTGCAAATCATCTCCCTCTTCTCCAAAGCCATCTGCTTAATACTGGCATCTAGATGAGGTGTGGGGACAGGAATTTGGAAGTTGTCCAGAGAAGCAGGTGAGTTCACTGCCTTTGCACAGGATGAGCACATTGTTTCATGCCCTCTGCTCAGCAAAGAACAGCAGAACCAAATCACGACCCCTTGATTCTTCCAGAGGCAGGATTCTCCCTTAGTTCATCACTTCAGAGAGGTCAAGCCAGGAGTTTCTATCCCGCACAGCAGCCACTTTCCATTTTTCATAATCTTTAGTTTTTGATTTTTTCATGCTGTATTTAAAATCTGCAACTCTTCCTGGCAGTGCATCATCAGACTGTTCTATACAAGCAGTTTATCAAAGAATAAATCAGCCTAAAGTCACAAACATGGACTGCTACAAGCGTAATACATTTCAGTAAGGAAATACACTATATTAATCAACATTATCATCTTGAACTGGCCTCTTTGCTTAGGGAATACATGTTCTGCATAGCAAATAGATTCTACCCACTGACACGTGAGCTCTCAGAATAGTAAATATCACGTACATTGATGACACAGGTATTGTCTCACCTCTAGGACAACATCAGCAGCATCATGGAGACATAAGGTCAGGGTTCCCACTCGTGTCAAATTGGTTACATATGAGAAGGTTATCAGGGTGACTGTTACAATGTGATGTGTAAACATGATGCCAAAATCCTAGAGCAGCGAGAAGCAGAAAAAAATGAAAGAAAAAAACAACAGTGAAATAAACAGTGAGATTCAGTATACCCACATAAAAATGGATGAATGTTTTTAAATCCAGCATTATGGTTACGTCGCAGGAAGATTCTGCTACTTAAGTACCTACCCAGCGATATTTTTTCCTTTGACTAAATAAAATAGCCACTGTATGATAACAAAAGGTGAAAAGATTATCAAAAGCTAGAAAATAGCTATGTCTCTCAGTTTGTAATAATGTAATTTCATAGACATCCAGACTGTAGTTACTATGAAAAAACTTATGTACATACAAATCAAATTACACCTTACTTCTTATATACTGAGTAATACACAATCTGCAAAATAGTGCATCATTTACAAGAGTTCAAACAGCTGCAGAGGTACAAGCAACACATTTCCTCAGTGCTATGAGCAATTATTGACAGTCACCTGCCAAGTACAACGGAGCAGTCTCACAGAGCTGAGAATCCCAAGTTTCTGTTTTCATTTGTTTCTTTCTAGAGTTTTGTCTTTACACTATAGCAGGGTCAGAAAAGTCTTCAAATGAGCTAGTGCAGATCCTCCTACTAAGATCTAAGCTGCTATCTTCCAAATGATGCCCATTGCCCAGTCTTCAAACTTGAAACAGAGTCAGCAAGTAACTGTTACTATTGAAAAATATGGGCAGTAGTAAAACTCCTGGAATATCAAAATCTCTGATGCATCCTTAGGAGTGGGCAAAGCAAAGGGAAAACTACTGTACCTGGCCTACACTCCTATTACAGGGAGAACAGGATACACTGGCATGAGACTCTTTTCTGTAAGGCATAAAATCAGTTTAAAAATAATTAAGTCTTGCTGGAGGCTGGAGTTCGCTTAACTACGTTCAAATCTGTGAGAAAGTATTATCAAAACCCTGAAGAAAAGGTCACGGGACCATTTGACTGGGGAGTTCCTCCAGGCATTGGGTGCCCAGGTAGCAAAGCAGCTCTCATACAAGGCTGTTGCTAAAACAGGAAAAAAGCTTGCAAAGATGTAATTATTTCTAATTAGAGAAAACCAGATTCTTTCTTGCCTTCATTCTCAGGCAGTTGTGTGACTTCCAGATTAAAAATAAATTAAAAAATAACAACAGGGTTAAAGCACAATCAAACCAGAATGGCAGGACTTCAAGACTGAGAAAAGTGAATAATGCAGAGAGAACAGATCCAGACAGCCACAAGGAACAGCTCCTGCAGGAAGGCTCATCTCCTCACCAAGTGCTTTGGGAGGTAGCATTTGTGTTTCTTGCAGCAGTTGATTCCAACTAAGCTGTCACCAGCTGATAAGCCCACTGCAGAGAAACAGCAGGGAAACTGAATCTGAGCAGCTGCAGCCTTTTGAGGAACAGACCCTGGAGGGAAGGTCTGAGGGCCTGCAGGAAAAGTGTTGGTGAGCTCCCAGTAACAAAGGGATAGCTCTGGCTATAGCTGCCCATTGCTTGCTCTCTCTAGTGTTTGCAGGTGACTGTTCAGTGACACCTTGCCTGTCTCTGGTAACGGAGAGGGGCCTGCTGTGCATGGGAATGCACTGCCACTTCTAGGACCAGTCCTTGCATGCACGGCACTGCATACTTGGAGTCTGTGAAAAAACTTGCAGCTTGACCTGACTCATTAACTGCAAAGGGAAGGAACTCTTAGCCTACCACTCCATGTTTAATGCTGTCAAGTACTACAGGCTTCTCTGTCCTGCAAATCCACAACATGAAGAAGAATTGACTAAAAGCAGAAAATTGTATCCTATTTTGACATAGTCAGATTTGGTTTCCAGCAGTCTGGAGCGCAATCAAACACACGCAGCAATCATCTCAAACCATTGTTTACATTCCATTTCCTTAAAGAGAACTGAATACAAGGAAAATTAAAGTCTATTTCTCTTCCTGAGGGTCTTAAGTGAGAGCAAAAACATGGCATCTTGGTCAATTCAGTAACCACAAACCCACCCATGGGGACCATTTGACTCTGCTATATTCAAAAAAGCAAAGCATCTACTCTTTTCCCCAGGGCTAGCATTCCCACATGGCCATATTGCAGCCTAGCTCTTTTACCTGCTTCAGTTGCAAATGCTATAGCACTTCTTCATTTTCCTGCTAACTATAATTACATTTGCACATAGGCAGTCCAAATGAGGCAAGAAGTCTTAAGCCAAATAATTCCTCTGTTTTTATAGATGCCACATTCACGTTCTACAAAGACTAGAATTCCATTCCCTCCTGGGAACTCTTCAAGGCATTCCTGACAGTACAGATTACTCCTAAGCAGACCTAATACCTATGGGCAGCAGTCTTCTGCATCTCCACATGAGACTACTTACAGAAATGCTGTCCAAGGAACTCCTTCTCTGATGTTTATTGGAAAAGACAGTTAACTGACTCTGTCAGCTCTGAAACAGAGATACTGGTCCAACATACTGAGAACTGCTAGAATAAAGTAGTAGCGATGTAAATAAGAAGGCTTTTGTTATTCTAGTCCTTTCTTTCCTGCTATTTCCTTATCTCAGTAATTATTACTATGCTTGAAGAAGCTATGTGTTACATTTTAATTATACATAAGGGTAATGAATACACAGAAACTAATGTTGCAAGGCTACATAATGTCAAGTGGTACTTTTGTTCCCAGTTTACTCAAGTAGTTTTATCCATACACAATAGAATTATAGCCATACAAGAATGGCTTCTTTCTTTAATGTATTTTGAACCATACACGTTTGTGCAAGACACAAACAGCACAGTTTACAGCAGTTATATTATAACCTTTGTTTGTGACTCCAGAAAGATAACATATGCCTTTACATGAAAATATGTTTCTAAGAATAGGAGAAAGACCCTACTCATGAAACACCATCAATGGAAGAATATGGTGCGGACAACAGAAAATCCCATGGGTCTCAATCTGGACACAAACCCTCCAGAAACAAGATTTCTGTTACATAGGGTAGTTTGACAATTCTATCAAAGAATACTTCAGGTAACCAGAAAATGTTAAGTAAGCCTGATTACTTTTAAAACTTATCAGAGGCTTGTTAGCCAATCCAATCTTCTTTCTGTGTGTTTTACAAAAGAGGAGTACAGGAAACTGGAGAAAAAATTGAAAAAACAAACAATAAAACACCAAAACAAATGACAGTAGATCGTAGTATTTGAAAATACGAAACCCTTAAGGGTAGAATATAATTACAGCTACACAGTATATGTTTATGAAGCAAATAACATAACACAAACTATAAAAGTTAACCTATTCAAATCATTGCCTTAACTTAGAGCTTAATATTTTGTTTGTATCTATTCAGTCAGGCAGAGATAATCTGGTAGAAGTTATAACATCTGAAAAAAAAGATAAACAGCTATTTAAAAATCAGTGTAACCATTTGAAATAATGAATTTCTTGTTAGGAAAGAAAAAAAAAAAAAAAAAGACTGAAAACCAGAAATTCGTTTATCTTGAGCTGCACAAAGTAAAAGACTGGAGCTACGCCAGTGATCAGTGCTGGCACTTTCAGTAAGGACCTACAGCACCTTGCCTTGGGAAAGCTGGATGCATAATAGTGGGTTGGCTGAAATCCTGTAGTGCTCATGTCTGCCAGGGCACTTTTGTTCATTTTGACAACAAAACAGACCTTGTTGTACTTAAAAGCATCTAAAATGATAAGCACAACATACACAACAGTATTCCTCTCACACTAGCAAGAAAACTTCAACGTGTTTCTCAGACTGAGAACCGTTAATCTGTTCTGCATAAACTGTCATGAAGTATTACCATAATGTCTGATACTAGCTGGCAAATTTCCTGCTTCCTTCAGCTACGGTGTCACTGTATCACACATTGTATAGCAGATTAAGAAGTTTCCACATTTTTAAAATTAAACATGCTCTTTAAAAGAGAACTACAACAGTGCTGCGAGAGCTGATGTCTCTGTCAAGCTTGTACTCCACTAGGTGGGGGGTTTTTTGTTTGTTTTTCAGAGAAGTTGCTTTTGCACTTTTACACCCTGACCTATTGAAGTCAGAATTTGGTGATGTGCAGAGCACCTCAGGAAACTGGCTTTGAGACCAGTCTTTTGTCTCAAAATCTTTGAAGTGCATGAGTTTTAACCAACATCATGCTTCTCACCTCTGCCTTCCTTTGCAGGTTGAGCACTTGTAAAACTTCTAGCCTTTCCTTATTGGTACATATGTCCATGTATTTGATGCTCCTGAGTGTCTGATAGGAGTTCACCTCAGAGCTGAGGCTTGCTTCATGTTTTCCTAGCAACATCTATATTCCCACTATCTTAGCACATTGTCTGTAAGATATCCCTCTACATCCTGAGCTGTCTCGTCAGAGAAGACATTCTGGCATTGTGTTGTGATCCAGCTGACGGCTGCCACTGCCTTGATGCCCAGCAGCATGTGCTACTACTTGTTGTCAACTACTGTAAGCTCTCAGTGTTAACACTATTCAACTCATGGGTTTTCTTGTCAGCTTGCAATTGCTCCTGACCACAGAGAAGTTTTACTGTCTGACACCAGCACACAGCAGCATTTTTCCAGTCTGGTTATCCTAGTTACCAATTTTGTTTAAGCTACAAAAAGAATTAGCTCCACTGTAAATCTGTGACAGTGGTGTAATCTAGGTGCAACCAGACTAATTCACTCCATTTTCTAATTCATCTCCATTCACTAATTCATCTCCATTTTCCTTCCATTTCCAAAACAGTATGCTGAGAAGCCTTTTGTGTGTGTGCGTGCATATGTATCTATACTTATCTATAAATCATTTATAAGTAAACGAGAGACATACAAAAGATTCTTTGTTTGTATCTATGTATGGACAGTATCAGACTCTCTGTGCTCAGCTCAACAATGGAAACAAACTCTCCAAGTCACAAGTGCAAACGCTATAGCTTTTTCCCAGGAGACATATCAAGATGAAAGATGAAAGCCTACCACAATGGCTCTTTTCAGAACTGTACTTCAGCATACCTAGATGCTGACTGAGTACCTCCAATTACCTTTCACATAAGGAAAGCAACTAGTCAGGAATCTATTAAATATTCTTTAAAAATATAATGTTGCAAATGCAATGCTGTTGAATTTTGTTCTCTCAAGAAGTACACAAAGAAAGGGAAATACAGTCAACAGCAGTGCAGAGAGATGAAATGGATACATGGGTACTGATTAGATAAACACAGTCCTGCAGCAGTAATCTGAACAATTCTGTAGCATTGCTGCAGAGGTTTGGTTTTGTTTTATAACCAAGGGTTATATGTAGTATCACTCTTTATTATTAAATACATTTCAGTTTTTACCCTGTCTGTGCAGGAAAATAAATTCAGTGCCTTCACAGATCTTACCAAACGGTACTGTGAATTTATGAGGCAGCCTTGCTCCATCACTGATATCTAATCATTTAGCTCTAAGTAGAAATGATATATATATTTGATCAATTGCATTCAAGTCATTTTATAAGAGCAGTAGATTTCAGCTGATGCAATTTCCCTTTGAATATTTGATTACATCAGGCTCTTCATCCCACGTGCAGAAAAAATACGCCCATCACAGTAACAAGGAACAGTGTGAAACAAGCCCTTCAGCATCAGTTTTTCAGCGATGAATATCAAAGCCTTCAGTGTTTTCAGTCTCACTGTTCTTACCTTTCTTTTGATGTCAATGAACTGAGAAAACATTAAGGACCAGTAGAATGATAATTCAGCAATGTAGTAATAATGAAGGTCAGGCATCAGTGGCTGAAAGATGGAGATGAGAAAAGGTTAATAGAGAGTCTGATATGATGGGCACCTGAGGTCTATACAAGAGATGTTTAATCACAGATGGATTACTGTATTATACGTAAGGATCCTATGTAAGAAAAACAATGATGTTTCCTCTTTCAAACTTTGATGGTTCTGGAAAAATATACTCCCAGCCTACCCTCTTTTAAATCTTCACAGTAGTACAATATCAAAAAATCAGGATGCCCATTGGAAACCCAGAACAAACTAAACTCTTCCCACTTATATCACTGTTACAAAAGATTACTTGAAACATCTTGCTGTACATCATTAATATATGTTTAAAGCACAGCAAAAGAAACAATGTTAGAGTAAATTAACGTAACACTCGTATATAACCTCATCTGTTTATGATAAAAACCTTGTGAGTTTTAAACAGATTTAACTCTTTCTAATATAAAGACAACTTTCAAAGAATATGACCATTATCTGCTAACACACTAACATCTGTGAAGAAGAAAATAAATAAATTTACCCAAGCATCTTGTTCGATATACAACATGGTTACACAGATGTTTAAAAGCAAAAGTATAAATAAAGCAAAATAATAATAAACAGTAAAGCAAAAATATAAATAACAATACACAGGAACCTATTCATAACCAAAATTAACTTCAAAGGGGGTAACTATTTAGATCCTAAATAGAGCCTAAGTGAGACAGTCCTAGGAGCTATTCTAATTTCCTCATGACTGTGCTTCCTGCTAGCCATATCTTCTGTAACAGTGACAATGTTCACTAGCACAGGAGAAGTTCTGCGGGCATGTCCAAAGGGATTAGATGAACCACCTTTTGAACACTCTGCACTGGCTCAACCACACACCCGAGCAGAGTAAGAGCTATTTCAATCAGAAAGAGGCAATTCATTTGTCTCTTCTATTCCCATTCTTTTTTGCAGACCAATACTTTGTAGCCAAACAGTTTTCAGATGCAGACTGAACATCCTATATGGGTTGTTTAAATGTAGATACATATTTATCCTTTATGACAACTGTGCACACTCAAAATCAGTCTACTAAAGTCATCGCTTGTGCCAATATAATCCTTTTCTGGTTTAGTGACACTGTCAGTACGCTTTTAATTAGGTGTAAGGAAAAAAAAGAAGAGAGTAAGAGCTAACAGTGGTAGTAATTGGCTGCAACTATTACATTCATTTTGCATGAGAACTCACCAGTGAAAATTTGTAGTAAGATTATCAGATACTTTATTAACAATAACATTAATATTTCTAAGCCCACATACAATGGTAATAGGAGAAGGGGGGATTTTAATGGCATCATAGCTTTCTTCCATGAGAAGATAAATAGTGTGTTTAACTTAGCTAACATATTGGATTTCAGTTCCCTGAAGACTTGAATAGGACAGTTCTGCTCTTACGTGTAAGTTGTCTTCCAAATGGTTCCTTTGACTACACCTACTGTAAGTTCACTTGGATTTCTGCAATTTTGTGCTGAGTAACTTACAAAAGGATTGTAACAAACAACAGGTTAGAACTTTTACCTATTTAAGAAGAACCAAAAAACAAATGAAAAACCCAACGCATAAGGATCCGCACTCAGTACTACTTGATCTGCCCTACTTGATCAGCACTCAGTAGATGTCTTTGTTTCTGGGACAAAGATTTTGAAAATGATTTTTATTAGATGGTCTCATTTCTGATGGACTCTCTTCTCTTCTAGCATAAGTTTAAATACAGCAAGTGTAAGTGCCCCATTTAAGACTAGTAACTAAGTTTCTGAATTTGCCACTCTGCTAGATCTCTGGCTTTGCTAAAACTTTCAGCATCTTCAGAACTATGGCTACTTCTCCACTGTGGCAGATGTTACAGGTAGATTTCCCAGATTTGTTTTCGGATCATGTGTTTCATGTCAAAACAGGTGTGATAGTTAAATTCCCATTTCACTTCTTGAACACAGGAAGACAAGGAGCATCTAGCAACATTTGAAGCACCAAGTAGTTCGTACTAACATACTGACATAAAGCTCTATCATAATAAAAACAGAGCTCTTCAGAGATGCCATTCTTGGTTTTAGGCAGTACTTTTACCTGATATGGGTAACCATTCCAGCACTGTCTGGTATTCCAAAGCCAGGGTGTCTGAGAGAGAAAGGAAAATAAAACAAAAAAGTCTGTACATATAATTTTGGTCAGTGTAAGTGTTTATGGTTAAAACAAGTGAGGGACAAAACTATAGATACAGCATAATATTTGCACTTGTGGATAAAGGATCTGAGAACTCAGTACAAGCAGTAGATTTTTTAAAGTTTCACACATATATTAGGGCAAAATGCCCATCCACAGAGAATTTCATTTAGTGCACTATGACCTTACACAAATAGCTTTTACAGGAGTGCAGACTGAATACAATAAGCCTGTGCACAGATGGTCAGATCTCACATTACCTTCTCAGCAACACAGGAAATCTTAACCTCAGACTGCAAGAACTTCCCTTACATATAAGCATCCTTTCACACAGTACTTAATCCTAGCCATATATCCACTCCAGAGAGTGAATCATGCCTTTTGCTTTGCTGGCTGACAAGATGACCATCCAGAGACTATAGATTTTGTTGCCATACGGAAAATACTGATATCTTAGGGCAACATAAAAAGTGCCTCAGACAAATTTATTGTCACAAGAAACCACACTTTTCCATTACAAAAGGCAGGACAAACTAAAAAACTTGAGTTACAGACATGCAACCCTTTTGCATCTTTTTGCGTCTTTTTTTTTTCTTCTTCTTCTTTTTTCTCCTGACTGCACAAGATTTATACAATGCTTCTTCTTCAGTGTCACACAAGATAAAGCCTTGTAAGTACATGTTATTTAGCTTTTCTCTCTTTTCCTGTGCAACCATGGGACTATAGATAGAAATTATCATGTGAACAAACTCTTCTACCCAACATTTTCAGCTGCTAAATATTTTCACAATAGGCAATAAGAACACGGCCAAACCAACAGTAACCAAATAACTCCTTTTCAATGTGCACGTCTTGCAAAGCATGGCTGCATCTCAGGTTATCTCATTAGAAACATGAAAGAAAGATGTGGATTCAGGATATTTGTATCATTAGCTGTTCTACATCCAAGTATAAAGGTTGCAGAACATTGTTAGGTCTCCCGGATTAAAACACACATACTGTTACAGCACTAAGTACTACTGACACCATGTTTTTTCACACAAACCCCTTGTGCATAAAACAGAGCACTTTCTTGTTTTCACCATTAGGCGGAGCAGTACAGTTCAGGCAAAGCATAACAACACACACACAAAATGCAATGTTTGTAAGGAGCATCAAACCAAATAAAAGAAACACTAAAAAGAATGCTGTTCTGGAGTTTAACGCCCTATGATGAAAATCAAGCTGGTAGAGTCTTTATAAATAGGAAGGATTTGTACCATATCAAAAGACTGCACAAATTACAGTCAGAATTGTAGCCAAATTCCCAACTGATGCATAAGTTCTAGTTATGATTTGTTTTCTAGAATATCCTCAGAACCTTTCCTGATTATGAGTGATGTAAATTTGTCTATTAGAGGTTCTTCCTACTTTTTTGAATATGTCCAGAGGAAAGAAGGGAAGAGGAGGGGAGAAGAAATTTGTACGTACCCCCCCCTTCTGCTCCTCAAGTGGAAATGAATAATTCTTACAATAGCTTGAGCAGAATACCAACACTTACAAATAAAAGATCTCTTACAAGTTTCTGATGCATCTCTTACAAGGAGGAGGCTGTGAGAATGGTGAAAGTCCATTCAAACCTCTCCACCCCTCTATTTGGAATAATAATTTAATGTAAGCAATTCATTGGTTTAAACACCTCCTCAACAGTTATTGCAATATGAGTTCCTCCCATTTCACACAACAAAAAAGGTATCTTGAAAGAGATACAGTCCCTCTACTTACAACTCTTCATAATACATCGAATCTCAAATATTTTTTCTGACAGCTGCTTAAAGTAGAGCCATCCAAATATTGTAGGATAACTCAAGTTTAACCAGGCTGTGACTGTCTTTCATATCATGTTCAACTAGAAATAAGATATGCTTCCTACCCAATTATTTTACTACCTAAATTACAGGTGCTAGTAAAAAAAATCCATATTTTTCTCCTTTACTATGACATCTTAAGGCTTCTTAGGAGAGATGCCTGCTATAGGAGCTGCAGATGTAGAGATTACGTTCAATTAAAATACCGAATGCTAAATAAAAGAGGTTTCACTGTAAGAATCCATCAAGACTTTACCACAAATCCTGAAAGGATACCACAAATTGAGAAACAATATAATAAATGCATTATTATTAAGTCTCAGAGACAATACGCTACAAAATATCTGCTTCTGAGCCAAAGGCAACTCAGAAAGTCATGCTACCCTCTCATAAAAAATGCTTCCGATCTGCTGTTTGAAAACCTAATTAGATTCTAAGTGGGCAACAGGCAGGCAACAGTGGCTAAGACTGCAGGGTATCTATACTACTTTCCTACCTCTGTTTCCTTCCCAGTCTCTCCTCCACTTGCCTAAGCTTCTCATAGTCAACTCTAACTGTTGTTCTAGAATAGGACTTGGGTTACGGTTGCCCTGGTGTGCTTTAGTGAAGAGCACAGAGAAAGCACTTCATTTACGCTCAGCCTTTCCCTCTGACCACTACAATGAACCTAGCCGTAGACTGAATTTATCTTCTCCTTAAAGACATAGTATTAGTAGGAGCTATAAGCACCTTGCCTAGTACTCTGTGAACCTTACGACTCTAGGATACTCAGGGCAGGTTCAGCTGGAAGGAGAGAATCCTGAAAGGATCTGTGATGTAACACTTGGACACAATGATGAAGGGTGAGCTAACCAGAAAAGACTTGATGCTGGCTTTCTCAGGACTCAGCTGAACCACATGCTCAGAGGCTATACCTTTAAGTTGTCCCATACAAGACAAACTCACTATTGAGCAAAGCCCAGCTCTCCCTGCAAAGTCTCATGACAGACAGGAAGAAAAGTGCTATCACTTGACTCTGCAACAGATCTTTTCTAGGCAAACATAATGAGTGTGCTATTAAATACCAAGAATAAGAAGAAAAATGGAAATATAATGCCTAGGAAAGAGATGAAGTACAAGCAGCCTGATAACAAAAGGGCATCCTGAAGTTGAAAACTGCTAAAAGCTTCAGTAACTAATATGTAGGACAAAGGAAGGGCAATTGATGTCATCTTCCTGGACTTGTACAGAGCCTTTAATACAGTCCTGCACCACGTTCTTAACTATAAATTGGAAAGATACAGATTTGAAGGCTGAACTATTCAGTGGATAAAGAATTAGTTGGATGGTCACAGCCAAATGGTTGTAGACCAATGGATCCATGTCCAGGTGGAAGGTGGTCACGAGTGGTGTCCCGCAGGTGTCTTGGATCAGTGCTCTTTAACAGTTTTGTCAATGACATAGTGGGATTGAGTACACCCTCAACAAGTTTGCTGATCACACCAAGCTGAGCGGTGCAGCTGATACAATAGAAGAAAGAGAAGCCATCCAGATGGACCTGGATAAGCTTGAAAAGTGGGTCCATGTGAATCGAATGAGGTTCAACCAAGGCCAAGTGTGAGGCGTTGCAGTTGGACTGAGGTGATCACATATATATATAAAGACAGAGAAGAACTCATTGAGTACAGCCCTGTAGAGAAGGACTTAGGGGTCTCGGTAGGTGAAAAGCTGGACATGAGCCAGCACAGTGTACTTGTAGCCCAGAAGGCCAACAGTATCCTGGGCTGTATCAAAAGAGATGTGGACAGCAGGGAGAGGAAGGTGATTGACCCTTTCTGCTCTGCCCCTGTGAGGTCTCATCTGCAGTATTGCATTCACGCCTTGGGACCCCAGCACAAGAGACATGGAGACTTTAGAGTGCCTCCAGAGGAGGGCCATGAAGATGATCAGAGGGGTGGGGCCATCTTATGAAGAAAGATTGAGGCAGCTGGGCTTGTTTAGCTTGGAGAAGAGAAGGCTGCGGGAAGACCTCATTTGGCCTTCCAGTACCGGAGGGGAGTTTATAAGCAGGAGCAAAGCCAACTTTTTACAAAGCCTGATAGTGATGGGACAAGGGTGAATGCCTTTAAACTAAAATAGGGAAGAATTAAGTAAGATGTCAGGAGAAAATTCTTTACTCAGAGGGTGATGGGGCACAGGAATAGTTTGCCCAGATAAGCTGTGGATTCCCCATCTATGGAGGCCTTCAAGCTCAGGTTGGACAGTGTCTCGGCCAGCCTGATCTAGTGGGTGGCAAACCTGCTCAAAGCAGAGAGGATAGAACAAGATTATTTGATTATTGGGTCCCTTCCATCCTAAGCATGATTCTATGTCACAAAGCACCAGCCCTACAACACTGAAATCTTCCCTTATGTAACATAAAATGCCCAATCAGTACAGTATCAGTGACAGTGAAGGATTACAAGCTGCTGTTAAAACTGCTGTCATTTACAGCATTAAGGAAAAAATTTCTTTTATGTTACAGTCCTTACAGGAATACCTGTCAAAAGCTCCAACAAACCTCTCTACAAACTCTGTGATTAAAAGGAATAATTTTCAAGAATTCTTCCAGAAAAAAAAACAACAAAAAACAAACAAAAAACAAACAAAAAAAAAAAAAAAGAAAAAAAAATCCTCTCTAGACAAGGGAACAACTGAGATGCTTGCATGCTAAGCAGAAGCCTCTAGTTGCCTTTACTTATCTGTAAAGAAAGCTTCTAATTGGGTCCTGGCTTTCACTAGCCCCAAAGTAATGAAAAACTGTATGCCTCGCTCAAAACGCTGCTAGAATCTTCAATGTGAAAGGATAGTTTTTAAAGTAGATGAATAAAAAATAAAAATAAAAAGGTAGCGCAATAAACCCCTTCCCACTGTGATCTATTCTCCATACAGTCCATAGTTGATTTGATTGAAAGGCATTTCTGTGTGTATTTTATCAGAGAGACAATATAAGTACCTGATGAAGTATTATTTTAAAATAACAAATTAAATTTTAGTTCATCACACAGTAATGCAAACAACCATGAATATGCCTCTCATTCATATGTGCCCAGCAGAATTCACTGAATACAGGAAACACACAGAGGTCAT